TATGTATGTATATATATATATATGTATGTATATATATATATATGTGTATGTATATATATATATATGTGTGTATATATATATATATATATATATATATATATATATATATATATATATATATATATATATATAAACTAATATGTTATAATGGTTTATAGTGTATTTTGATTCCATTTGGCTCATGTATAGTGTTTTCAAGTAGGTTTCGTAAATTCAGTTTTGGAAACCTAGTAATCATCCATCTTCAAATAGCCCACCAAAAAGGGTGATTTTTCTATAAAAAAGATCCTCAGTTAGGGTTTTTTTATTTTTCAAATAACATTCCCTTTTGGTTTTTTTTTTTTAAATACCCCTCACCAACTTTTTTTTGTCAGTATTTTTTTCACCCATTTTGAATTATTACAATGTTTTCATTTGACTCATTTGCAGTATTTTTTTAATAATATTTTTTATTAAAACATAAAAAATATTAAAAAAATACTATAAGTAATATCATATTATGCCCCTTTGATTGTTATTATTTGTAAACTATTACAATATCATATTTTTAGACATATAGTTAGTTAGATTGATGTTAGGAGTCCATTTAGATTATTTAAATTGTCTCAAAATAGATTTTGTGATATTTTTATTATGGTGGTCAAAACACTATAGCAAGCTAATTTTTTATACCTATTTGGGTTATGTTGTTCTTATACTATTATAAATGCATATTTGAAAACTAATATAATATAAAAATGATCTATAATGTGTTTTTTTATTTCATTTGGCTCATATATAATGTTTTCAAATAAGTCTTATAATGTTTTTATTATAGTAATCAAAATAATATAATAAATTTAAAAAAAGTGTAATCGCCCAAAATATTATAACTGATAGAAAAAGTATAATTAATTTTTTAAAGAGATAATTTAAGTATTTTTTTGAATTATGGATACTGTTTGGAAAAAAAAATTAAAAGGGGAGTTTGGGAAAAACAAAAAAATCTTTTGCAAGAAATCGCCCCACCCAAAATTCAAATATAATTTTCTTGAAATTTCCTTTTGTGGGCCCACTACAATCCGCGTATATAAGCAATGTCAATCTCTCCCTCTCTCTATCTTTCTCTCTCTCTCTCTCTCTCGCTCTCGTTAGAAACTAAACCCCTTGTAGAAACACTTTCTCCGTTTTCTCTCTCTTCAATGGCAAAGCTCTCACCTTTCCCTGCCTTTATATCACGTAGAGAACTCTTTGTTGTTCTCCCATGCTTCTTTTTCTTTCTCTCCTCCTCGTTGGCAGCATCTGGTGGCGGCTCCATCCGGGACCTTCTTCGGAACTACGGCCTCCCGGGCGGGCTCCTCCCCAACTCTGTGGAGTCCTTCGCCCACGACCCTTCCTCCGGCCTCCTTGAGGTCCGCCTCGATTACCCCTGTTACGCCCGGTACGGCGATGGGCTCGCTTACTTCGAGAGCGAGGTGCGGGGCAACCTCAGCTACGGCGCTCTCTCCGGGGTGGTCGGATGGTCGGAGGAGGAGCTCTTCCTATGGCTGCCCGTCAAGGGGATCGTCGTCACCGACCCGACCTCGGGCGTCATCCTCGTCGACATCGGCGTCGCCCACAAGCGGCTCCCTGTCTCGGTCTTCGAGGAGCCGCCGGAGTGCCGGCCCCCAGGGGAAGAAGTGGCGGCCAGAGTCGGTTAGTTATGTAACTTAAAAGAAAAGAACGATCTTTGCGGGCGTTTCACATCTTTATGGCGTTATATGGAAGCTTCACATTCTGTTTCCGTTTCGAAAACGAATGATTGGTCATTTGCAGAGGCACATTTATTTTCGCAGGCTGAAAGTTGAGATTCTTGAGCTTCTTTAATTTTATCTCAATTCTTATTCTTTTTTCCTTCTGCAATTGTCCTTTTCTTATTCTATTTGCACGTTTTCTTTCCTTCAATTCTAAAATGACAATGATTTCTTTGTTGTTTTTTTGTTCTCTTTACTTTCTTCTGCTCACAATATCTGCTAATAATTTTGGTGCCGCCCGTCTCGCGTTTCACGTTGGTCCTGCTTTGCGTTTATTGCGCGCCAACCCCCCCCCCCCCCCCCGTGCTTGCGTTGGTTGTGCAGTCCTTTTCTGGAGTTTTGTTCCTTTCCTGCGCTTGTGGTTTCGGTGAATGATCTTTCGGCACTCGCTTAGCTAATGGAGTAAGTTTTCTGGTTTGGTTGCAGGGCTGTTTGGCAGAAGAGAATGGTTTCCGCAACCGAGATAATAATTACGACTGGACAAAAAGACACACTTCCCTGTATTCGATAGTCATCCCTCCCTCTCTCTCTTCTTAACCTCGATGAACCCTAAAATATTTGTGCTTGAAATGGAGTGTGGTCACTGTTCTCGAAACCACCACCTAATCGTCTCTTTATCTCTGTAACCCATCCATCGAAGGCTTGATAACAACGGTGAGCAGTGCCAGTTTGGCAACCTTGGTAGCTGATGACTACGTATCGGCTGTCATTCTTCTTTGTCATGTTGCATGTTATCTGTGCTGCTTCGCTCCAACTCGTGTGATGTGACGTAAACATTGGATCTACGAAATACTAAACTTATAGCGACTTGTATTTTGCGGTCGTTGAACCAAAAATTTTGTACATCTCTGTGAAGAACCATATTTGGCCTCATAAAAGCCGTTTCAACATATCTAATCATATTCAAACTCAATTCAAACCAATAATTCTCGTCGCTATATCAGACTGTCAATTTTTGAGTCGAAATATGACATTTTCTTTTTTAACTGTGGAAATGATTTTTCACAGTTCATTTTCATTGTTTTGATATGTTAATCCAAAAGACGGTTCGAGTAATAATTACAAGCGTAGATTCTAAATCTGAGAAGAGTAGAGGTGGAGTAGCCAATTGGTGACTGGGTAGTGGGAAAGGAAGATGGGATGGGATGGGATGATCTCCCCCACGATGTACAGTACCGGTGCACATCGCACAGGCAGACCTTCGTCGGCTGATATCAGGCTTCTACAAACGGACCCCCGCCGCCAGATGGTGGAGGCGCCTGCATTATTTCGGCGGCTACGTTCCAGAAGGGGACCGGGCCCCGCCCGCCCAGCATCGTGTGCTCGAGTTCGCCGTGCGGCGTCGCGCTAAGGAGCCGTGGCCGCCATCCGCTTCCCCTACTCCATGTACCGAATCGTGGAAGACCCGAGTGTCCGTAGCATCCCGGTAAAAGTCGCAACAACCAGCTGAAGGCTTTTCTAGCTTCCTCGCCAGTGTTTACCACCATCTCTAGATCTTAGATGTGTGTCGGTGCTCTTTGTCGAATGCCATCCCAGCATGTTCAATTGATCATGATCAGTTTTCAACCACATCTTGAAAGAAGCGTCCTGATTGGAGGATTTCCAAATTACCAGTGGTGGCCACAATAACACGCGCTGGAACCATTATGCATGGATTCTCTTCCTGGAGATTATAATAGATGGGCTGAAGTCCTCTCGTAAGATTAGTCTTTGTTAATTATGGATTCTCTTTCCAATTGAAGGCTTTAAAAATATTCTTTGTTCTGTCTCCCTTAAAAGTTATCTTTCCTAACCATTCGTGATTAGCTTGAAGATGTGCGCACTTGCATTTGTTTGCCTTTCTGTAGTCAATTTTGATGGAGTTTTTTTCCCGTAAAAGGAAAAACAAATTAATTGGCGTTCGCACCTATCAAAAATAGTTGCTGTTCTTTGAGAGATGCGTCTTTGGAATTCAGATCAGTGGTATATCGTAGTTGTTTCGCATTGCCCTCAAGTAAATATCCGGAAGCACTCACTCACCAGAGATTTTGGTGGACGAGTGTATTCTAAAAGATGTGTGAGACTCCATGTCACAAGAAGGGGATCCATTATGTGGAAAAATAAAATACCAAGAAATTTAATGGGGAGACCAGAATTAATCTGCGGCGGCTCGTAAGCAGAGGATGAATGGAACGCTCATACAAGTAAGGAAGATAAACCATTCTCCCTGCCATATGACATGGTAGATAGACAGCATCATTGGCGGCCCTGCATGGTTTGCTCCCGGATGGACGCCGATATGGAGTTGCGGAAGGCTCAGAAAAGCTGTGCATCTGTCGGCAACATGTTGTTGTCATCTTTCTTGCTCAGGACCACCGAGGAGCTGGTGCTGCTCCCACCATAAGACGAGCGATTTCATCCATCATATCCGCTTGGGACCCAAGCTGTTGTGAAGACTGAATTGTGGCCCTTCCATGTGAGCACCAACGTGTCCTCCTCCCTCTTCAGTCCCCATGCACTCGCATGTTCATCGACAAGAAGCTTCACCTCGCTCACTGTCTCCTCGTCGAAGGGAAAGCTTTCGAACCCCGCCCTTGTCATCCGTTGACTAAACCTGGCACCCGATTCCAACCTCTCCATCCGTTCCTCCCCCTCGAACCCGATGATGTTCTCGATCTTCTGCCCGATGTCCGCCTCGTACGCCAACCTCTGAGGGCTGTCCTTGGGCAAGAAAGTCTCCAGCGCATCAAATGGTATCCATAGGTAGTTGAAGCATGACATGATCCTGGAGGTCAGCCTTGCGGAGTCCAAGTCTGCGTCCTCGTCGGTCACAGTAACAAGGCAAGGGTTAAGCCTATGAATTAATTCCATGAATGCATCCCTCGAGGATAGGTCGTCAGTAGCTCTCCCTGACCCTTCCGGCAGATACCGTAACCAGCTCTGGCAGTTGACGACGAGGGCCTCTCCCTCCCTTAAGCCTAGCGAGGAAGGATCCAACAGACATGACGCGAACTCTTGGAGGAAGTTTGAGTGTCCGTTGAGAGCATCACTGGAGCAGCTCCAAGTGGCCTTGACGACATGGAACTCGAGTGGCACATCCCTAGACTTGGCAAAGTTTGCCAACTTCAGCCCGATCTCCTCCGTGGAAACATTCAGATGAGGTGGAACCGATGGCCGAGCGGAGGGCATGGTGATTCGGAGCAATGGTGGCCCTTCGGGCCTTCCAGAAAGCGCGTCGATGAGGGTAGGCCATTGCATGCAGTAGTATATGCTGAAGTCGAGCACATGGACCTTCCGCCTCCCCTGCACCATCTTGAGGATGGCGCCATTAGCTGCCGTGAATCCGAAGCGGTGCCATGGAGTGAGGTCAACGTAGCCAACGAGCTCGGTTGCGGTCATCGGCCGGGCCCTGGTGAGCCCGGTCGTGGCGGAAGGGATGGCGGTTGGGCAGAATTGGGAGGCGCGGGTGACGAGCGCCCTAAGGAACCAGGAGGTGAGCCTCTGGTTGGGGTCGCCATGCGAGGAGGCGATGTTGTTCAGAACCCACATGACCTGCTGAACCAGGGTGGCGTCGTTGGCCTCGACAGCGGTGGCGCAGTGGAGGAGGAGCTTCTCGATGCCTGCACCATCCAGGCTTCCGAGGCACCCCTTGAGAGCGCCGGAGAGTGACCCATGGGGGGTGTCAAAGGGGTTAGGATCAGGCACGGAGACATGGCCCGGAGTGCTGCCCCTGAGCTCAGCCCTCATGTCTCTGTGGAGAAGGGCGAGAACATGGAAGCTGGGGTATGCTAGCTAGGGTTTCCCCATTTCACTAACGTGCATGGAAGTGGTTTCTATGGTGATGAGCAGGCCACATGGCAGATGGTAATAGGGTGGGTGACGATTATAGAGGGTAGGGTTGGATCCTTGAGGGGCTTATGAGAGGGAGGTTCAGAGGAGATGATATGTGTTGCAATTCTCAAGGAGATATGGATTGTAATCGATTCCGGAAAGGTTGCTGAGAGTGAGATGAGGAGGGGTTGGGGATGGGTCGTGTTTGGTGTCTTCCATAGCTTTAGGACTATATATATATAAATATATAATAGAACGGATTGGAAGTGTTCGTGGACAGGACAATGGAATAAGATTTAATGAGATCGAGATGGGGATAAGGCCTATTATCAATTTTATATATGTATACGAATCCAATGGTTTGGCTGAACCGAGAAAGAATACCAATCGTCTTACTTATCGACAACTCAGACGTAGATACCTTCTAACATATAAACATATTTACCACAAAGAGTGCTTTCAAGAGAAGTAGTATCTTTACCTGTAAAAATTGATATCGATCAATACGGTAGAATTTTATTTATTTATTTTTATAAATTATTTTATATTTATTTATATAGTTATACTTTTTATATATATTTAAATATTTTTATAAAATTGTATTTATTTATTTTAATAAAAATATATTTATTAAAAAATTTTAAAAAATAAATTTATCAAATAATATTCAACAAATATTTAAAATATAATTTTACCAAATAACACATGCTTCGATGCACATTCAAAATAGTTTATCAAATTTTTACTCAAATTAAAGCATCCACAATTATATTCACTTAAATTTTTTCTTCAATTATATATCAAAATATAAATATAGTTTTTATTCATTCAAACACAGTTTTAATCTTACACCCACACATCACTTGCACACAATGCAGTAATTCTGATACATTCCTGAAGCCTCCAAAGCACTACTGATGCTGAGTAAAAAATTGCCACAGAAACAGCCTTATAGCCGGCCACAATTTTGTCCGGTGCTACATCAAGACAAAGACAGCATTTAGATTGCTGATTTGTTACATCAGCTCCTTTGGGCATTCAAATTGAAATATCATATCCCCTTTCCCCTTCTAATAAACTTCATGACAACAACATAAAATAGATCTCTAGTCATGTTAGTCCACTGCAAAGGACAACTCAACTCCAAAGGACAAATCAGCTCCTTTGCGTTAAAGCTAAAATATATAGAAAGGACAAATATACTCCTTTGTTTTAAAGCTAAATTATATAGATGGTAAATAAATAAGTAATTTGATTTTCATTGGCGGGTTAGGAATATTTTTAGTTTTAACAATCCAGTTACTTAAAAATTATTATTTTAAATGCATCTCTTTAGTCTCATGTTCATGTTTGTTTGTTGAAAAATCTTTCAATATATAATTCGTAAAAAAATTATATGATTCTATCTAAGTAAAATATTATGAAGATGATTAGATTTTGGTTATGGTTATCGATAAATAAAAATAAAATCTAATTATGATAAGATTCCTTAGAAGATGATTTTGATATGAGAGACTCTTGTAATTACTTTTCTTAAACCCTTTGCTCTCGTCTATAAATAAATATGATGTTTTAAATACTACAATACAATGTGCATACCAATATGCAAATATACAGATATAAGAGATTATAGATCTTCTTTTATTTTTCTTTAGTCACGTGAGCTAATCAATGAAAGATTATATATCTTCTCTTATTTTTCTTTTCTTCCTAAATTCATCACTTATAATGATCCTACAAAAGATAAAAAAAGAGAAAAAAATATGAGCCTAATTCTTTTTGTAGATCGACACCACTAAAACTTTCGGATCCGACAACAATATGTTTACATATCAATTAAAGGTTTTCTAAGCAGTATTTAAAATGTATGAATCATAATATTTAGGTCTATTATTATTTAATTTTAGATTTTTGATAAAAAAAAGTCTTGTATCGCATGAAAGTAATGATTTTTATACTCACATAAATATATGATGAACTAGTTAGAATGGAAGGTGAAGTTAGGTTTGGATGGAAAGAAAAGCGATGTCAACCATGAAAGATAATTGAGAAAAGGGAAGTTTAAATAGATTTTATAGACAAATCAGTATCTATCCTTAATAAATATAAGCATGCCGTTTGCATGCTACCATCTGGCGATTTTAATGTATCGCGAGAAGCATACGTAAAAATACTCAATGGGCAATCAGGCCTTGTGCATATCAATACTCAACGTACTACCAAACATGAGCGAGTCATATACTTTGAATGCCTTAGTTAACTCTGTCGATAAATTTTTTTAACAATATATTTATACATAATATAAAGAAAGCATGCTTATAAAGATTTTTAACAATATATTTATGTTTATAATAACAAGCATGCCATTTGCACGCTACCTTTTGCATTAAAAGAGAGAGAGAGAGAGAGAGAGAGAGAGAGAGCCTTTGTGACCTTAACTCATCTTAATATCTCACTCCACCAGAAGTTTGGTGGAGCAGTGAGTCAGCAACTACTGTTTCCCATAAATGTGTTCCTTCGTGGACGGCCACTGCGTGTGTTTTTTTAAGGGGAAAACACCTGTGGGATTAGGATTAGATAGCTGATGATGATGATGATGCGGTTTGACTTCGAGATCAAAGACTTGCAACACATTTATTGGAAGATACCAGCTGTGAGAGGACTTAAGAACAAATACTTCCTCTTACCGAAACACCAATGGACTTGAATCTTCTACTGGGAATATTAATTCTAGGTAATGCATCATGCAAGATATTTTTATCTTTTTGATTTTACTTCTTTAATAATATCATCATTAGTTTATTAATTAAATGATTGTTAATGATGTACAGATAGAAAACCTACCAACGATTATATTAGCCTTAAAACAAGGAAAACGTAATAACAGATGATTTGGGGATTAGCTTGCGTGCTTGGAAAAGTCAAAAGGGTGTAACTATACGTTCCCCATTAAAATGATTTTATTTGCTGATTAGCAAATAATTATTGGATTTAATATGCTGAGATAATTGATCTATTAATTTTAATTCTAACCCTTTTTTTATATGTGGCTTATCAAAATATTACACCCTTCCTACCTACTAAATGGTTGCCAAAGAGTAATAACATATTTATTTAATTATCATACCAATAAAACTATATATATATATATATAATATTATTCCGCCAGCTAAACTGTATCCGCTCCCAGCTGTCCTTTTTATTATTAGTATTATTATTATTATTTTTAATTGCGCAAAACGTCACTGAGGACCACTTCGTTATATCCATGGAGTAGTCAGTCAGAAGCAATGACTACTTTATCGAAGACTTTCAGGTCAACCGACGAGGAAATGGTTATATAGACAGACCAAATCGCCGGGAGTGGTGAGGTACCAAGTCGTCTTCTCACGACTGGCCGATGCCTGCGATGGCAGCCTTGTAATCCAAATTATTCTGCGTTGGGAGGGGCTGAGGGATCGATGAGGCTACTGGAATTCCCTTGCGGCCGTCGAGCCTCCCTGCCGGAGGAGACGACGCCAACGCCGACGGCGGAAGCTGGGGACACGCAGCCAGCGGCGGAGACTGCGCCGCCGGAGAAGCTTCTTCGAAGGGCGACGCGCGGGTGGGTGCCGCCGTGGCGGCCGTCTCTGCTGTCGATCTCGGAGGACGGTGCCTCTGTGGGGACTCCGAGGCAGCCGGCGACGGTGGCGAAGAGCGGAGGATCGGTGAAGGCGAAGGCGAAGGCGAAACCGGCTGTTAGAGCAGTGCCTCGTGCTACCAAATACGACTACCAGTACGTAAATGTGTGTTTTATCTACTGCTGCTGTTTCCTTGTGCTACTTTTTCGATCTAATATATATGAAGGTTTATGGAAGACAGTTGAGACTGTGTGTCCGTGTGACAGTCAGGATTCGCGTTAGAGACACAACTTAGGTACCTGAAGATGCCAAGGAACATGAAATAAAAGCTTTTAGCTAACTTTTTTGGATGAAATAAAAGCAGAGGAGTTGAGAGTAAAAAGATGTAGGCATCATTGATACTTTATTGGAGCAAAGGTGGTCGATGAAGTGCTTGGCATGCTGCTTAGGAATAGTCTAATTAAGAAAAAAACTATATTTTCGAATAAGCAAGTTTAATAAGGTCTCTATTCATTTGCTTCTGTCAGGAACTACGCCGTCGTGCCCGCATTTGCTCCGATGGTCTTCCTATTCTAAGCATCATGGCAGTGAGTGAGTATGAAGAAATGTTTCGGAAGCAAAACCGAATGCATGCTTGTAATTTCATGTTGGTGCTGTCGATGATGATAGATGTTGGTGATTCTATATTTTTCTTGTCCTTTCTTTTGTCATTTTGATTAAGTTTGCAAATATATGTACATACTTGATTGATTAAAATTGAAGGTGGTTCATTTCACCATGTGATTTGATGGATTACTCTTTATGTTGAGTATTCGTAAAGAGGAAGAAGGGAATTAAAAGCTTTCACACAAAATGATGGCATTACCATCGGTTGCGGTACGCTTCAACATCGATCCTATACTCGATGGTTGCACCCTCTTCGTGAAGACGACGTATATATGATCCCAACAGGGTCATTTGCATGCATGTGAACAGGAGCTGCATAGATAGAGAGATCCGAGTCGCTTACTGTCTTCTAGCTTGGAAAGTGAACATGATGGACACGTCCTCTGCTCATCTCGCAAATCATAAGTTGACCCAGCAAGCAACGCAAGGATAGAAGTCAACTACTGCATACGAGAACTGACAAGACGTCAACGAGCCGTGGTACGTGTTATTGATCAACAAATTATCATTCCAATGAGTAGATGATACCGCAACGCTCCTTTCAAACAATATTCTCACATCGATAGCCCGATCAGACCCGACCCATTTGATTTCGGGCCCAAAAAATTGATTAGAAGAAAACAGAATCGAATACATACGATTCTCAAGCTCCCAAGTAGTTTGGTGTCACAGAAGACTCTGATTACAACAACAGACGCAGCACTCGGGCAGCGGGCAACAGAACAACGAGATACATCACAAGATTCGTACGTGGATGTTCTACATTCAGCGATCTGACCTTTATTCCTTGGAGGCTTCTCTCTAATTGGCAATTACTGATCAGTGCCAAGCAGAAGCCGAGACGAGGTTCCTATTCTTCCAACCCAGCAGCAACGCACCATCTTTCTCCATCAACGTATATTTATCTGAGTAATAACCCAACAGAGTCTTTATCACTGAGTTCACATACGGGCTAAGCGGGTAAGGTCTAAAACCTGCCATGCTGAGCCTGGATCTCCACTTGCTCAGCAGCTCGTGCCTCTCGATCCTATCCTTCCCTTCGCAGGCAATGATGTTAACTATGTCCTTTGCCAGACAATGCTGCTCGACGTTGATCCTATCCTTGCTCTCCTTGGGCAGCATCACATCAACCGATTCAAACATGGCAGAGTAGTAATCTAGTGTCTCGACAAATCTCGACGAGAATGGTGTCGTGTTGGTGTTGGACTCCTGCTCCACCAAAGTCATCACTTTCGGGGACAAACTCTTCACCAACCTTAGCAATCCATCACCAGGGTTGTTTACGTCGTCACTCTCATCGGGCGTGTGGTGGAGCTGGAGAGTGAAGTTGACGGCAAGGGCTTCCCCAAGCCTAACATCCAACATTTCTTTTGTAACCTCAGGCTCACATACAGGGAGGCCTTTAAACTCAAGCGGAATATTGAATTTCTTGGACATGTCCAGCAACATCTTCCCGACTACATGCAACCCATCTCCTCGAGTATACTCTGCCACTGGATCATCAATCCCTGTTATTCGCACATGTGGTGGACCCCCAGGTCTTGCAGCTAATGCTTGAATAAGAGTGACCCATCGGGTCCCTTGAGCAATCTGGAAGTCTATAATGTGGATCCTGTCCTCCTTCTTTAGCGCATCAGCTATTGCTCCATTCGCTGCCATATACCCAAACTTGAAGTAGGGGCATATGTCATACAAAATCCTCATGTAGGAAAGAAGCTCCTTACTTTCTGGCTCACGGCACCTCAAGGCACGATGGATGTTGGTGCCAGAAGACTTGTGCCTTGCCACCAGCCCTTCCAGCATATAAGCACCAAGTCGCTGGATAGGTACTCCAGTAATAGAAACAACACTTCGGGCTTTTTCAACTAATAATTCAAATTCCTTTATCTTGTTCTTGGATAGAGTTTCAGCACACTTGATTAGAAGCTGTTTCACATCATTACCTGATGGTTTCCTCATTTCTCTGAGACGTTTCTCCGGACGCACTTCATGACTTGGATTCAAATTTCTACCGGAGAGGTAACAAGGATGGACTAGAGAAGGAGATTCTAACTGGATTTCATGGGTCCATGTTCTTGACCGCTGCTTTGGCAGCTGAGTTTGCTTGTTCTCCTTCAACTCGGGATCAGTGCTGGTTGTTGGTTCATCTGTATCCGGTGCCATGAGAGCAGTTTCAATCTCCTGTAATGCGTGCTTCATGCTCTGACTGGAAGCTGCAGAAAGTGAATTGGATTGTATCTGGATACCCTCTGGAAGGTGAACTTGCGACGGTTTGAATCTGCTGTCGGTGTCCAACGGAGAGTACCCAGAGAGGCTAACCCCCGGGATGGTATCTGTGGAGCTGTGCTGATCCTGAATATTGCTTGGCACAGACAAATTGTCACACTCAAACTGGCTAGAAAGAGGGGAGCTGGGTGAGTTGCCAAGAGCTGATTTTGTGGAATCAAGTGTCCATTCAATAAGCACTAGATTTCTTGGAGAAGGGTGTTCGCACGATAAGTTTGCACCAGTCAATCCATATAACTGATGAGAGTCCATGCTAGAAGGATGAGCATCAACTATGCATGAGATATCTATGCATGAAAGAGGAAAGGAACACAGCCTCAATCAAATATCACATAAAAGCATGCTTGTCAATGAAAATCAAATGAGGCTACAGCTGACTTAAAAGGAGATCATTACTGCAAGATGCATATAATTACTGGAAAAAGAAAGGAGGAAGAGAATGAAGGCAATAACATATCAGTCAATTTAAAACCAATGAATCACATAGCTACCCAAGTCTCGAAAGAGACTATTGTCTATGCAGTTTAGGGAGCCACATTATTTATATACTTTTCTTTTAAGCTAGTGGCCAAAGGCACTGAGAAATTTTTAGGGTCTCAAAGGTGGATCAGGCAAAACTCCTGGGTCCTACAGTATCTCTCATTCATTCTTAAGCAGTTCTGCAATTGTAGAGGATAGCAGTATTGCAGACAGCAACTTAATTTGAAATTGTTCTCACACATAGCATATGTACATACTCTATGTTCATAATTCTTACATAAAACATTAGTGCAGAAACTGAAGAGCTTGAGGCAAACATTACATTCTTCTAAATGGCACTTACCAAAGCCTAACAACCACATCGATGATACTTTAATGATCAAAAGAAGTAGAAAGAAAAGATTCATTGGCACAATTGACCAGATTCTCTCATAACATAACCGACAAGTTTACATATATATGGCAATATGTTGCCTAGTCACCTACCGGCATTGGGCTTTCACAATTCCTTAGTAATTTATGGATGGTAGTTCTAATCCAATATTCTAGGTTATACAGAATGAATTATGCTGAGGATTTCCTCTTTCATTGCACAGATGATGAGCCCTCGAACTAGCAAAACCTTCTTTGTTCATTGGATGCCTTAATGCAAAAATTAAGAGCTTCACATGTGGTAATGAAGAATTTTAACAGCTTCTGAGGTGACAAAAATAACATTGCCTAGGAGAGTACAAGCACATGGATTTTTAATTTTTTATAACAGTGAAACTACAGTGATATGCCCATCGAGAATATACCAGTTCGGGGGCTAATTTAATTTTCACACTGGTTAAAAGTATTGCATGAACATAAAAAAGACAGCATAAACTCTGGGAGGGAGGGAGATCAAAACAATCAAGCGTATCACGACAAGATCAAACAACCACCAATAATGACCATGATTCATTGACAGAAATAATGGACATGATTTTTCAGAGTGTAACTATTCTTGCCATTTCTTCCTTTGAGATTCATTGAATAACTTATTTTTAATATGAGCTCAAGTAGACTGTAAGTAGTATGACATAATTCTAGGATAAAGCATCCCGCCTATACCCCTCTGAGAATTCTAATCAGTCTCCCATCCCAGCACTTCATGCATCCTTCCTCTTTCACCTTACCAAGTATCCATCCTAGAAGAACAAAAACAGATAACTATGATAGGTCTTATTGAAAAATAACCAACATTTATTGCCAGATTGTATCAAGTGCACCAACAATGATCCATCATCCAGAACAATTGATATCAAACTCCAACTCTAGCATTGTTAGGTGTAAGCCTTTTATATATAGCAAATTGAAGATTTCCTTCCTGGTGTTGTTTTCGAGCATCCCAGTATTATTAATTGTCTCTGTAATTAGAATATCTTCATGTCTAGACTAATCACCATAAAATTCTGTGTTACTTATTTTGTTTTGTTCCAAAATTGATTTATGCAACACATGAACTAAAATACAATGTCTCATTTAAAAAAGCAAAACTTGATAAGGTCCTAATGTGGTAGGCTGCCGAGAAATATGGTAGAAAACTGTATGTTACTGGAAACTTGAGACCAACCGTAGCTAGTCAAGCCTCCACTTTTTTTAACCATATGAATAACTTTTTGACAAAATCCTTTTCTACACAAAATATTTTCCAGATCCTTGAAGTAGGCCAAAATCTTTGGATCATCCAAGAGTGGTTTTCCAAAGATTCCCGACTTATGAAATATTTTGTAGGTTAGTCCTCACTTGCAAATCCTGAAATTACTACGATGGATGTCATTTAACTTCACATTAGATAACTGTAATTACACTGATAAATAATAAATATTGCTAAAATGACAAGATTATATCAAATAAGAAACCAATGTAGTTCCATACAGGAAGAATTAATCAGTGCACAAATGTAACATATGTGAAAAACCCAATTCATTTCCACTGATATTTCTTGGTTGTGCATTGAACATGTGGATTAGGCTATATGCATAGAAGATGGTGAAGAGCAGTGAAGGCTGATAAAGAGAATCATCCTAGTGACAAGTTTTTCTTTTCTTTTATATAGAGGTAAGCAATGCAGAATATTGATGATATTGGAAGAAAGCATCAGGGGAACACTGAGCATAAGTGATTTGCATCAAAGGTTTTGCAAAAAACATTATGCGTCACTTTAGAACTTAATGAGAGGGTAGTCATTTCCCTCTTCATCTTTTCATGTAAGATTGTTAATTTCTATTCACAAACAATGAACAGATAATCAATATCTCTCAGAAAGAACACGATTTAAGGAAACATCAAAAAAATCAAACGGAAAAAGGGAAAGAAGCAAGTGTCAGAATATAAGTCATAAAATCCTATTTTTTACGTCATATTAACCTTAAACACCAAACCCACTCAAGCCTAACAACGGATAACATACACCCATCCAACTCCAAAAGGTAAAAGCAAAGACAAAGCGAAGACTTTTTTGCTTATTATCAACAATCAAAGTTTGCAACTTGTTTCCCTAACGAATCATAGCTTGTAAGAAGAAACGCCTGATCAACCTCGCATACGAGCCTCAATCACCAATCACCATAAAATACAGAAAGATTAATCAAAACCAGCAGAATTCAACAGATTTCGCGAAAATCTTTGGGAACCCCCACACGAATCAACGGAACAAAAATTAGAGCTCAAGGGTAAAAAAATTTGCCATGCAAACCAACTAGAGACACGTATAAAAATAAACCTTGAGGTCACCGATCCTACCTTCTTATCCTCCTCAGGTCGCTTAAAGAATCTCTTCGCCTCGCTCGTTCTCCCCTCTCTTCTCTCTAGTGGAAAAAGTTGCTGCTCTGCTCACGGCGTCCCATTAGCTGCGCCTTTATAGGGGACACCGAGAAAGCGAGATTTAACCGTACCATTTGACAGCGTTTCCGACTGGGGCGACCCTCAGATCAATCTGACCGCGAACTCGACGGACCTGACGGCGTTAACCCTGCCGACCTCAGATTCCAACCAGCACTAGCCGTTCGATTGAGATCTCGCGGTGCTCAGGCTCCTGACATCAACGTGCGCAGCCACTGTCGACAGTTCCGCCCCCGTGGCCCACCGCGCCTCGTCACGTGACCCTCGGGTTCCTACCGCGTGACACGCCTGCGGTGTGGATCCCATATGCCACTCGACACGCGGGAGCGTCAAGTTTGACCTCTCGGTGTCTCGTTGGCGCCAGATTTGCCCGTCCGATGTAGATCAGACGGATGGGATCTTCCCTCTGGCGTCGCATTTGACCGGTCAGACTTCGTCAGGGCCGTCAAAAGAGTCAGTTGCATGAAGAATATTAGTGGCAAAAGGGGAACATCTCGATCGAGTACCAGTGAGACCCAATGTTGAAGGGTGTTGTACAGGCTGGTTAGTGGTTCGAAGCAACAAGTACACGGAGAAGACCATGTGATACATGGTTATCTTATGTGTGAATATAAATGCACATGGCGAAAATGTTCGGCTTCATTAATGACATGATGTTGATCGGTGACCAAAGTGGGGAATAGATAACAAGGTGACTCGGCGAGCAGCAGTGGGAGGGTCCATGAACCACAAAATCCAAGTGCGTAGGAGGGATGTGAATCTTGCCAAGGTCAAGTGCTACTATAAATATTGGTGTTTGTGTGATTTCCACCGTCGAATTAACAAGGGATAAGTAGTGTCTCAGCTGAGGATCGAGAATCATTATAAGACGTGTGGAGAATTTAACCAAAGAAAACAAGAATTCGTGTCTACCTCTCCAGAGAGTCTTAATTTATGATTTGTAAGGCCTTGACCTAATTGGTGCATTAGGTCCAAAGGATAGGACAGATAGAGAGGTCCATTGGCCTAATTGTGGGGTCATACCTTCAATTTATTAAGTCAAGACAAAGAGAACAAACAGAGAGATTGTCAATTCTATGCGTTGACCTCCGATCATCATTTAGTAATATTGCTGTTCGGGTATTATTGGTGTCAGATGGTGCTTATGATGCACCTACGGATAAGAATAAAATTAGATTTTTAATCAAAGATAGTATTAAACGTTGTATTTTTGCAGGCTGCAAGTCGATGACAATTTGGATTTTAGCTATTAAGAAATAATAACTAATTTAAAATTTGAAAGTGATGATCTAAATCTCATAAACTGAAGAAAGAAGTTTCTTCACAATTGGCTACTTAAAAATTGCGTTAACAATATTGAAAACCTCATATCTAAGTTTCAACGTACCAATTTACTATACATATAAAGAAATGTAAATAAGACGGCCCAGTTGCTGCTTCTGCAAAAATTGAAGAATCAAATATTTTTTTTTTTCTAAGATTGAACTGGCCTCAATTCTTATATATTATTTTAAGCTTTGGCGAGCAGAATTTTTGTAATCTTGTCTAAAGTTAATAATATTTTATTTTTTTAAACATGTTATCATTTAGTAATTAGTTGTTAAAATAATTCATATAGCAATCATTTTCTAGGAATTCCATATTATATCCTCGCAATATGATTAGAGTAATAAAATGTATATCTTTTTTTTTAAATTGAATAAATAATAAAATACTCAAAAATAGTCATTGAATTTAATTTTTTAATTTGAATTAAAGATTCTTATGCAAGAGAATCCTAAATAGTAAATGTCTCAAGTTTCTTATTAATCAATAACTCAAAAAAGTTTATAAAATTGACTTTCTAGTAATCATATTCAAGTTATTTATAAAATTGATCCGGGTATAGAAGAATAATCTATCATACTCTTAATTATATTCATAAGATTATGATTTCACCTTTAAGTGTTATTGTGGCACATCTAATAAAATATACCAAACAAAAATATCCTATTTTTTTTAAGAATTTAATAAAAAAACTAAAATTATGATTAGGCTCATCGTAAGTATCATAAAATTTATCACCTCATATTAGATCCGATAATTTTTAACTTTTCTATCTAATTATCTTTGGACTTCATTTATATATACTTAAAGTTGTTAATAGATTGAGACCTTAGATAGTTATATCTTAATATGTAATTTATAAAAGTGATAAAATATTTTTCTTTCCACTGAAATAAAGAATATGGCGTGACCTATAAATATAAGCATATATAATATTAAGGAGTTTATGACATTATATTTTATTCTAATATTTGATTATAGGATCATTGTAAACTTAAGATTCACATTAATTATGTATAGACCTCGTATAGAATTTAAAAGTTAACTTTTGTTGAATCATAACTATATTGAGCTTACAACCACTAAAGAAAAATAATATACTGACAATTTTAGTTAAAAAAACTAAAATTCTAAAATTATGCATACATACTCAAGATCTATCAAATGAATTGTTACTATGTATAAGCAATAAGTCCCAACTAGTATCGCTTTTGCTTGAAGATAAATCTTACTAGGCGTAGGGGATAAATATTTCTTACGCTTTTGATTTTCATGTTAAAATGAATCCTTATTATTGGTAACATAAATTAAAGCTTCAGAATCAATCCATCAAGTATTAAAAAATAACTTTTATAACGTTTGATTCAAAACATATAAAAGTCAAACTAATACATTTTTCTTTTGAACCAAAACCTCATAGTCCTTCTTCAGGTAACTTTTTTTATCATAAAAGTAATACTTTACCTATGAAGATTTTTCTTTTATAAGTTTATATAGCATTTAAAAACATGAGTGATTTACATTTCAACTTTCTTTTATTATTACTCACTCTACCTAAAATATTATAAGTCTTTTCTATTTGAATCTTAATTTTTTTCTAAATACACATACTAGTTAGCTTATTTAAATTTCATTTATCCTTAATTTTATTATAGTAAATTTTAAATAAGCCAAACTAAAAAAATAAAATAAAAAAAGAATTATACAAGAAAAAACTCAATTACATTCATGCTTAATATTCTTGGACTTATAACTTTTTCAGTCATATTGATGATATAATTTTAAAATTTTCAAATATCATTATATTCAATTTTAGTTAGTTCTTTTATTAATATGTCGATCAATGATCTTAATGACTTGACAATAAATTTAAATTGATCTTTAAAATATTATAATGTATTAGTTGTAAACTGTAATAAAGTTTAAATATTATTAGTAATTATCATAAAATTGAATCTTTTAGACCATTCTTGATTATTTATCTTAATTATTTATTTTATAAAACTTTAAGTAGTTATGTTTGTGATTCTTTCAACTAGTTTGATCAAAGTCTAATATATCTAGTATAAATTGTATATACTCAAATCAGTTATAATAATTTAATATAAAAAAATATAAGAATATTTACAAGAATACAATGATGAAAGTACCACTATAATAAAATAATATAATATTAAATACTTTGAATTTATCAATAAATGTTGAACTATTAATATCATCTCTATTTCATAATGAAATATTGATATCTCTAGTATTTACTCAAAATTATTTATAGAAGACTAATATCATCTTTGTGGAATAGTGTTGATATATTTGGGTATACAACCCTAAACTATAAAGATATTTAAGACAATATCATTATATCCCATCACATAATTATTCGAAGTAGATTCTCTTTTGGAATTATCTAAATCTCCTAATTATATGTGCTATTGTGAATATTATTTTTCTTAATATCATTTAGGACTAATTCTTTGATGTAATTTTATAAGTTTTTAGTTTATATCACTTTAATGACTACAAGACCAATACAATAATATAAAATATAATTTAAAATATCTTATAAATAATAAAATATATATTATAATTTATATCCCATAAGTTTATCATCCTAAACTATTTTGATGTTTACTAGTCAGATAACACCTAGGGACATGAGTTACAAATAATATTTACCAAAATTTTTCAATCTAATCTATGTCAAAATAATTCAATAATAATAAAATAATAACTTTAATAATTATTGAATATTAATAAATATAAAAAAACTTATATAATAACTAATAATAAATCATAAATCATACCTTTTATATAAAAATAAATATTATTTTAAAATTTTAAATATATGTATCTAAATAACCAAATAAATTTATAAGAACAATAATTAAATTTTTTATTCATCATACACCAAATTTTATCAATATGTCATATGAAAAAACTATAAAAGAAAATCATAATTTATATTTTTTAAAATTCCACTTAGAAACCTAAATTAGACCTATCCATCTTTTTTAATTGGGCAAGCCTAGAATTGGTCCAATTAGACTCATATATTTTAGTGAACTATTTACTCAATTAAGCCCATCAACATTAAAGTTGAACAAAGTAAATAATTAATTAATATTTAATTTTTTTCAAATTTGATCAAAACTTAATTTATCGAATTTAAATCCAGTCAAGCAATCAAAATACAAACATAATCAAGTCTGATCAAAATAGTTGATTAAAATAAATCAAACTAATCAATTTTATAATTGAGGACATAAGTAAAAAATTTAAAATTTTAAAGGACAAAACTATAATTTTGCTTGGGATATATAATGAAATTATATATTTTTGAAGGGTAGAACTATTAATAGGATATAAGTTAGAATTAAAAGATTTATAAGAGTAAAAATATAATTTTAATAAATGAAACCGTAACCCTCGTAGTCGCCCCTATGTTCCAACGTGCCCACGCGCACAGGTCAGTGGTATAGCAGTCGTTTGTCACTTGTGCGCCACCTGCGGTGGTGCATGTCTTCTTACATGGTCGACTAGTGACCTCACTGATCGTTGTGCTATGCTATCATATTCCTCATCGGTAGAACATCTTCACAATGCGTCGCTAACCTAGTGCCGCTGATGGATCGTCCCATCGTGCGACTATGCACATGCGTCGATCGACAACCACACCGTCATAGTAGTGCCTAATACTTACGAGTTCGCCATGCATTAATTGGATATCGTAGCCTTCAACATCCAATTGATGCCAACTATAACTAGCAAATGCTACAGTACATTATTTATAGAGGACTAATACCATATTTATGGAATAGTGTTGCTATCTTTGGGTATACAACCCTAAACTATAAAGATATTTAAGACAATATCATTCTATCATATCATATTCCTCATCGGTGGAACACCTTCACAATGTGTCGCTAACCTAGTGTCACTAATGGATCGTCCCATTATGAGACTATGCACATGCATCGATCGATAACCATACCATTATCGTGGTGCCTAATACTTACGAGTTCGCCATACAATAGTTGGATACTATAGGCTTCAACGTCCAATTGATGCCAACTATAACTAGCAATGCTACAGTACATTGTTGTAGTCGCCATAAGCAACAATGCTGTTGTTGTCAATATATGCAGCGACACTACTACAATCACCTATTTGTATAATAGTGAAGAAGAAAATTATACCAATAAAATACTAGTATTGTTGTTGCAAAATGGTGAAGAAGAAAAGCTAAAGTGACATAAAAATCATAATTATGCCACTTTTAGATAGAAAACTTGAATATTAGAAACTAAAGTCAAATAATAATAGATTAAATATAAGATACACATCTTTTCTATGTTACTCAGAAAGTTTTTGTCTTATCTACGCGCACCATTATTGGATTTAGAAGTTACAACGATACCGATCTAGAAGATCTATAGAAGATCTATAAGAGTAAAGAATCTTGTCATCTCAGTAAAATTATCTCCTAAGAAATATATTATTTATCTAAAGCCACTTTTCCACCTTCTTAGAGGTGCATATCTATCCCCACCTGTAGCGGGAACTGCAGACAGAGCTTTTATACAGGCTATGGGGGACCTCTTATCAGACCAACCATGATCCAACAGTCCCGGGAACACTACCCAGTGATTAGCCAGTCAGGATGAACGAATCCTACCCGTTGCAAAATGGTGAAGAAGAAAAGCTAAATTCACCAAACCGAATCATTCTGTAGTGTTTATCTTCACAAAAAGCAAGAACAAGAAAACATTTTTTTCATCAAATTCCAGTTGTAATGAATGCTAATAAAAAGAAATGGAAGCAGTGGCCAGCTGAAGGTTAAGTGCACAGAATGCTTTATAAATCAGAGCAACGACTACGAAGTAAAAGCAACGCATATCAATACGTATGATCTTTCTATGCTACAGTAAAAACGTCACGTGAGAGCATGCAACCCAAAATGCCGATGTGAAGCCATTCACGCCCGAGAGACAGACATCTCAGTATGATTTTGACATCTCTGACGCAGAGACAAGGCACTGAATGTGGAGGTGGGATTCATCGACCAAGACGACGGCCCAATTACTGTTTGTCGAGGAAGGAAAGTTCAATATCAAAGTCTACTGAGAGGCGTAGTGGAAGTTACTTGAGGGTTTTACATATTACCACAAAGCATGGAAGTAGAGCTTTTGGGTTGAGCAAATAGAGCTCCTCAATATTTGCGTAAAGACCAACCTTCCCCGCCAACGAATCGAAGGCACACTGACCTACTAGCTCTTGGTAGTTGTCCAAAGGCTTATGAACCCTCCCAGCGATGACTCTGCACACCAACAGCGCTTTCTTCACGGAAGTATCATCTTCATCCGTCTCGATTGATTCCAGTGCTCTACCGCTAGTGGAAGTCGTAAAAACGCCGATCCCTCCCTTGGTTTCCTCGTTGCCGGTGAATCCGTGTCTGATGATCTGACAAACACTGCATTTCTCCGACGCGCAAAGCCCAGACGAGCCGTTCGTGCCGAGAGAACAGGCAATTGTGGTGCCATGGAACCTCAGAAGCTCATTGCCGTCGGCCAGGCATCTAGGGTGCTTCTTTGGCAGCTTGCTGGCTTTCATCTTAACCGTTTCCCTGTACTCCTCAAAGAGAGTAAGAGTTTTCTGCATGTTATGGACCTTGAGGACCCTCTCGATCCGTCCGCAGCTGCCGTCGGTCTTGGACCACCCTGTTCTGCATATCATTTCTACTATCTTCCTAGAGGAGTCACCTTCCACAAGTTCGCTAACTACATGCGTAAGAGAAGCACAAGTCAGTCCCTCACCTCCAACCGAAGAAGATTGTGATGTAGGAAAACAAGAAACAGCAGTAGCGCTGCAAGACATTGGCGACCACTAATCCTCTGGTACGCATATGCTTCGTCGGATGGATGCGAAGGAAAGAAATAAACATGAGACACTAAACAATTCCAGGAAATCCACTAAAAGCAGCAAAAGATCGACATGGTACCTGCATGCTTGGTTAGGTGGTGCGCCTCCAAGGTCTCCCACTTCACAAACTTCTCCCCACATTTGTGGCAGGTCACAGCCGCAGAGCACTTCTGCAAATGCATCTCATGAGAGAACCTTGGTGTTGAAGCGGCGTGATGGGGTCCGACAACACCATGGCCAAGCAAAACGGTAGCGAGAGATGAACCCCCGGGGCCATGGTCTTCTCCGTCACCGGAGAAGCTAGGGCATTTTCTTGCTGGAGTGCTACTAGCTCCGCCACATGGAGGAGGGTTATATTGAAGTGGTGAGGGGTGGCCTCCTGGTCCAGGCGTCCCAGGCCTAAGGGTGCCAACGCAGGGAGAATCCAATCCTGCCTCGCCCTCATGGCCGGCTCCCAATCCAGATATCCTCAGCTCGCACCTGGAATTGTTAAGAATAACATCATGGGTGATTGGGTTTATGAACTCACTACTCCCGATGGACCTCGGGCTGCAACTCGGTGGCTTCTCAATGTGCCTCTTGCTTCCATGGATGACATCTCTGAGATTGGCTATGGATCTAGAGCACCCAGACCTTCCCGCTTTCCTTGTCAAGATGGATCCAAGATGCCCCCTGGCCTTTGGATCATGAACCTCCGACGGCTCAGACTTGCAGTGGAGAGATCTCTTCAAGGCAAACCAAACTGTTGGCATCTCTTCTTCTTCCTCCTCCTCCCCCCCGTTCTCCTTGATCTGTAATCCACTCTCTCTGTCTCTCTTGCTTCACTTCTTCATGGGCTCTCTGCATATCACCCTAATTCTGGAGACAATAGATTCGACTACTTATGTCTTTGCCTGCGCTGAATTTGCACCACTAATGCCGAACTCCTGATTCCCTTCCTTATTCATCTCATCTATCAGCATGGAAAAAACAGGACTAAATTAAGCTCAACAGCCATTAAGAACATACTCAAAACCACTGCAAATTTAAGGGACACTTAGGAAGCCTCGTAGATTCAAGGCTTTGTGGTCAGGAAATCGATTCAAGATTAAAATATATCTCATCTTTTTTCTTGAATAGTTTACCGGGAAGAGAAAAGATTGTGGATGTACCGCAGAAGGAAACATATGGGTTGGACCTTTTGGTTTGTCGTGGGACCAGAAAAGCTCAAGGCCACTCTGTAATGAATGTGATGTAGCCTTTAGTGTGGGAGGGGTACCCCAGAATGAATGTGGTGCAATGCTTAAAACAGCTGCCAATATGGGGTCATATTTATCAGAGTCGTCCGCGTGATTGCCTGCCTGCTTGCTTTGAGTGGCTTGACGCACACGAATCTCAGCAGGAGCTGACCTGAAAGAGATAGCACAGTCCCCATGTCTAACCCAATCCTGCTGATCCACCCCCAATCTTTCAGTCTCTTTACTAATTGTACTCTTCTCAATCGGAATGCTCATGCTTGTCCCCGCCTGGCAGAACACGAATCCAACTAGTCTGAAGCACTGGGAAACACATCATACAAGTAATTGATCAGATCTCTCTCTCTCTCTCTCTCTCTGCGGCAGAAGACATGTATTGTGTAATGTTTACTGGAGCGAACTCCTTGGCAACAGGACAGCTGCCTTTTTCATTGATGGAAGTCCCACTGTCTTAAGGTTTCCAGTGGGGACCGACCAAATGAATTCGAGTGATCCAGACTTCAGGGATGTTTGGCGAGTTTGCTTGCATTAATTAGTAATATACGGGCACTAATTCCCCCGAAACAAACATTTGGAACCATAAACAAAGACACAAAAGTGGCGTGGTTAAGCATCTAATATATAATATATATGTTGATAATATGAGTACCAAATGATGTGTATCGATTTGGAATGCTAAATTTGATCATATAAATTTTATCAAATTAAAGACCGCGAGAGAAGAGTTTTATTAATGGATTTCACAGACTATGGATCATCACTCATCTTCTTCCTCGTTTGTCTCTATTACTATTTTTATTGTTACACGGATGATAGAGCAAAGGAATAAGGGTCATACAAAAAATAAATTATTCTAATATTAACAAGGTTAAAAAGAATAATTGTTAAACCATTTGATCATCAAGATGAAGATATTAAGCATACTTGTTTTGATGAAACAAATATTCCTCTCAAAAGAATAATTATTAAATTAATTAGTTATCGAGATGGAGATATTGAATACCCACCTAAATTCAAACCCAGGTCATCAAAATAAAAAATCTAAAGTAATAACTTATACACCATGAAGCACAATCATATCTTAACTTTTTATTTTTATTTTTTTTATAGTTGTTTGGAATCCAATCGTCCTATTCAATTTTAGTTCAATTTAAAATCATAAAACCATTGATTTATTCTGGTTTTGATAGGCTTAATCTAGTTGGAATCGGATGTATGTAGAGAAAGGGACTATCATATTGAAAAATACTATCTTAAATAGTAGCAACTTAAAATCTACTAACTTAAAATCTAACAAAGTAGAAGATTAAAAAAAAATGATAGAATTTAAAAAGAAAAAAAACTATATTAAACTTCTTAAGATAAAAAATACTTATAGATTTAACTACTTAATACTTGGATAATCTATACATCTAGGCACCATGTCTATTTGCAGGTGTTGAATAGCAACTTAAACCAAGATAACTTTATAAGATCTTTTATTTTAATTAACTAAAACTCTACCTAGTCTATATATCTAAACAAACAAGACTCTTAAAATCCTTCAAATAATATAACTTTTAATTTTAACACTCCCTTTAAATTATATTTTGAAAAATAAGTCCTGGCTTACTTCAAAAACTCCGTCAAGCTCATTTTACCAAATAAAATGATATTTAATTTTTAATATAGTTATTTTTCATAACAAATTAAATTTTTAGTCAATTTTTGGATATTTTAATTCATACTATAAAATAGTTAGTGGTAAACATCCTCGATCAAATACATTTAACCATATATACTCTTAAACAACAAGTGAGAAAGCATTGTATTTTGTTTTAGTTGTGGAAAGAGAGATTTATTATTATTTTTTATTATACCATAAGGCTAATTATAGATTACCATATAATTAGCTACCTTTAGCATTCTGGTCTATATACTTTCAAAAATTATATTGAAATCCTTATACTTACAAAAGTAAAATCATTTGACCTCGTTGCTCCAACAAAACCTTTCTCTCTCTTGATTTTTAACCCACTAAAATTATCTTTTAAACCCTGTATAGGAATCTCAATATTTCACTTTCATAAGTATAGAGATCTCAATGTAACTTTTGAAAGTGTAGGGACCGGGGTGCTAAATATAATTAATTACAAGGGGTAATTTATAATTAATCCTATACCAAAGCAAAACTATATAAAGAGACATAACCAAATGTGGATATATGATTATCTAAATCACTACCTAGATTAGAATCATGCAATTTAGAATTAATATTTTTTTTATATAATAATCTCAAATCAAGTGTAAAATTCACATAAGATTTTCTTTGTTGCATCAAAATGTGGCTTCCTCAAAGATCGTAAAAAATGACTTATATAACCAACTGACAATATAATATCTGATCTTATAATTGTTAAGTAGATGAGACTATCAATAAGTGCACAAAAGGATCGAAGATAAGAAAAATCTTATTATTGTTACAACTCAGTTTTGTATTTGTGGAGTATAAACATTCTTACTTTTGTTAATTCTAAACTTTTTAATATTTCTTTTACATATCTTGTTTTAAAGATAAATATACCTTCATTTGTATTCATCACCTCAGACCAAGAAAAATATTACGCTCTTCTAAAACTTTGGTTTCAAACCGAAGAGAAAGGTTGAAGCCTTGAAATCTCTGCTTCATTATTACCAGTAATTATCATATTATCCACATACAGATGACTAATAACATATAGGTTTTCTTGCCTTTTGAAAAATAAATTAGGATATGAATGAAAAGAAAAATGGCCACACAAATATAAGTATTAAATAAATTTTAGTAGGAGCTTATTTTAACTCATAAAAATCTTCTAGAGCTTGCAAAAATAACTTGATTTAAAAATAGAAATATACTTTTGTGGTTGCTTCATATAAATATCATCATCAATTTCACCGTATAGAAGACATTTTTCATATTAAGTTTTCAAATCTTCTAACCAAGATTAACTGCTACAGCAATCACCACTCGAACAAATTTTATCTTGACTATAGGACTAAAAGTTTCCTTATAATCTTCTTCATATTTTTGAAAAAACTCTATTGCAATAAAGTCTTTACTTATATCGATCTATACATTATCTGATTTATGTTTCACCTTGTAAACCCATTTGCAATTAATTATATCGACATTTGTAAGCTTTGGCAGTACAAATCTTCTTATTGTTCATTCTAAACTTTTCAATATTTTTTTTACATATCTTGTTTCAGAGATAAATATAGCTTTATTCGTATTCATCACCTCCAAACAAAAAAAAAAATTAAGTTCTTCTAAAACTTTTATTTCAAACCGAAGAGAAAGATTAAAGCCTTGAAATCTCCACTTCATTATTACTAGCAATTATCATATATCCACATATAGATGAATAATAATATAGGCTTATTTGCTTTTTGACAAATAAATTAGGACTTGAATGAAAAGAAAAATTACCACACAAATATAAGTTTTAAATAATTTTTTCATACTAAGCTATGTGAGCTTATTTTAATTCATAAAA